CTATGAATATGTCATTTTTGAGATTCAGAAAAAACAAGGAGACCATCCACACTGGTTCCTCGATTTTTGCTAGGAATTGCTTTGTGTCTCCACCACTTTCTTAGATATCACTTTTTGTGCGTGCGAAAAGTGAATAAATTTCTATCGAATTAACGTCATTTGCACAAAAACGAATTCCAGCCATAATACCGACTTCGATTTGGCATGTCGGGATTTTGGGGCTCGCCCGGAAAATACATGAAATTACAAAATACAGCAAGGACTATCGACGGGCCTTTAAAAAGAGGAAAAATTTCTATTATGGTACTTCAAATTCACCTTTTGTGCATTAAAAAAATCGCTAAGACTCGCTCAAAGTCTTTAAAAAACCTAAAAAGCTATTTATTTTTTGATTGTCCACCTGTTTTTTTTTAATATTCAGAGCTTGACAAATGCATAAATTCCTTCAAGTCTAGTCTGAATCGAAACAGTCCAAATCTCGAAAAATCAATGGGCAAGCTAGCAGAGTTCCTTTGAGAACAAATATATTTTAATTGAGGGTTCAGCCTAACTCTAGTCAACCCTATTTTTTCCAGTGATTGGCTCGTTTCCGCCCGCGATACTTTGGATAAACGTTCACCAACTCTCAAGCCGCGAGCGATATCCGCCAATTTCCGGAGCACCCGAATTGTTCAGCCGAAAAATCCGTGGGCGGATCGTTACCGTAACCCGGGCACCCAATTTCCGGAGATGAACACTTCACGGTGCAATAACGGCGAGTTTTACGAAAATCGTTGCCTATTTTTCTGGTTTTCAATGTTCATTTGGGGGTCTCGCATCATTTTAGCTTCGTGGAAACCAAAGCTTTCGAAGCGTCATTTTTCTAAGTTTCTAATTTCTAATTAATAATTCTAAATAAATAATTAATCCTAATTTTTCCTTAGGATCCAATCTTAATAATCAAAATAGAGGAGATATAGAGAATAAGAATAACCTTTTAGTACAGCAACTATTCCTTAAAGTAAAAACCTTAAAAATTTATTGGAATTGCGAAAATAGGTTTTTCGTCTAAAAAATTCGGTTTCTCCCTCCGCGATTCTGAGAAAGCACCAATTATGTCTAATGTTAAATTTTTGGTTATTAGATGCCGACGAGTACTACAGTATCCCCTGCCACCTCAACACAATCCGCCGACAGCGATCTCGTCGCCCACTTCGTCCCTTCGACCACCGACGTCGCCGTCACCATCGCGTATTTTGTTGTAGGCCAATGTTTTCTAATCTAGAACCTTTTATATCTTAGAAACTAATAAAAACCGTGTCAAAATCTCCGCTTCAGATAGCCATCACGGCGGCTTCGCTGAATGCAATCGCGTGTATCATTGTCGTCCGGAATACGCGCGTCAATTCTGGCATCAAGGTGGCCTTTTCCTTAGGCATTATCACGGATTTTCTTCAGCTTTTCCTCATCGGCGACCATTTTTGCCGGGCGGCCAACAATCTGCTCGTTTTCTATTTTGCGCCCTGCATTCTGACGTTGGTTTTTGGAAGAGAGAAAGAGAGAGAGAGAGAGAGAGAGAGAGAGAGAGGAAACCAATACCCGCTATAACTCCATTTAGCCGCTTCTGCCTGCGCGACCCATGGTGGCTGATTTGCCAGATTTTGGCCGCCTTCCAGGGTTGCGTCCACTATTCAGCGTTCCTCTATGAAGTCTGCCCAAATCTCTGATTATCATAGTCTTACTCCAGATAATCCTCTCCATAAACCGTTTCTCAGCCGTCGCGTACATGGGCCGATACTATACGCGGTTGAAGCGGCTTCTCTATGTAGAGGTAAAGCTAAAAAACACTTCAAATTCCTTTCCAGTTTATCCTATTACCCCTGATCCCTGTCACACTAATGACGCTTGGGACATTCTATGGTAGGTCAAAAAGACTTTCAAAATGTCATTTTCCTAGATGGCAACTGCCGCTTCTTCCACCCACTTGCCTATGCCGTCTACAATATTGGCGACTTTTTCCTGACCATGGTAAAAAGCCGGGTTCTCGCCTCATTATCACTATCAGATTCCAACACTAAATTGGACCATCTTCGCCCTGTTGATTGTAGCGATCAGCTTGGACACCTATACGCTGCTGATGCTGAGAATCCGACTAGTTGGTCTCGCTTTTAACTTCATTTGGCTACCAATTCTAGAGCCAAACGAATTTCAAGTCAAATCATGGCGGCAACTTCACGAGAACCGATATGCAGCTCTCGAAACAGGTCCGGAAATGAGGCGCAAGAATCAAGGACATTTCAGATGGTGGCTACTCAAGGCTCCGGGCTCTTCTATTTGTGTATTTCGTTTGTCCACCAATATACGTAGGTGAAAACCAGTCACAATGACAAAATCCTAGTCCGGCCAAATTAACTCTACAACCTACCGTCTCCTTCATCGCCAACATGTTCATACCGGCTTGTTTTAGCTGCTATATTGGGTAAGGAGGAAATTTAGCTTCGAATACAGAACCTAGGCTCCTAACCATCATTTTCCTACGCCAGAAGAAGGTGCTTGTGCTAGAGAAAGCCAAGGAAGCTGCTGCCGCTCCCACATCGACCAGTCAGGCACCACTCTCCCTAAAATGGTCAACAACCCATAGGTGATCACATAAACAATGTACAAACCCGGTAATATTGTGTAAAATTTGTAATCTACCATTCATTAGCCATTTTTTGCACAAATCCACATCTTATAAAAATCATTTTCTCTTCGAACAATCACGAAACCGGTACTAGTTAAAAAATGACGGTAGCACGGGGGGCCACGTTTCGCGGATAATGGTAGATTTAGAGCAGAGGGGATAAATAGAAAACTCTCCTAGAACAAAGATGGCTACAACTTGAGGGCATGAAAAGGAGGGGTTCGTCTATTTCTTCTCTTCCTCGCCGACGACGATCGTGTCACCCTTGAAGACGTACGGGGGCACGTCAAGGTTGCGGGGAGCCGGGCCTTTCCTGAAAATAACAAAAATTTACTTCCGACCATGAGAGGATACCTGATACGTCCAGAAGCATCGTAGTGAGAGCCGTGGCAAGGGCAGTAGTAGCCGAGGAAATCACCAGCGCCAGCTATAAAAATTGATTTAATAGAAAATAGATAGATTGGGTTGGGAAGGAAAATGGCTGCTAGAACCTAGTCATGAATTTTACAGCAGCGAAAAAAAGATCGTATTTCCTGTTAACACGCGAAGGGCTCCTTTTTTTTCAATTACCCCGAAAGGTAAACGAGAACGAGGGCGAGACCGTATAAGTTTTCTTTTGGTTTGAGCAATTCCATCGATTTCCAGAAGTTCAAACTGCTCGAAATCACTCAGAATCACAGCACGAACGGGGTCATTTTTCGTATTTTTTTGGGGAGCTTTAGCAAGGAAAATATGGTTGTTGAGAAAACGCATACCGATCGGAGCGCATCCAAGATGGGTGCACACGCCAATCACAACCGACCACTCGTCACGCTTCACACGAACTTCGTCAGTCTCGGGGTCGCGCAACTCGGCAACGTTGACAGCCTAAAGCAAGCGATGTTGCAAAAACAAACAGGAGCGGAAGCAATACCTTCTCACGGGCAATCTCAGCCTTGGTGCGGTGCCGAACAAAGACGGGCCGGGTACGCCACTCGTAAGTCTTCGTCGTTCCTAAAATGGAGGTCATAAAGAAACGCGAGTCAGCCGACCTTCCGGAATATCGTTCATCGAAATCTCGATAGCGGCCAGGGCACGGGTGGCCATGGACATACTCTGCAGCGAGCAATAAAATTAGATGACACAATTTTGAAAATACCTTGGCATAAAGAAGAGTCTGGACCCCCTCCTTCGCGCCCCACAGACCGAAAGATCCAAAGGCAACTAAAAAAAAATTGCAGCTAAACTAAGCGCCGTTACCTCCTTTAATGGCTCGTTGAATGCCAAGACGCTCAGGCTCGGTGTCACGCGAGGCGACCTTGGTGTCGAGGGTGGACTTGCGGCGGTACTCGTCGAAGTTGGGGTACGAAACGTCGTAGGTGGAGGCGAGGCGGCGGGAAGTTACTAAAAGAAAAATAAGTTGGAAGCCGGTCAAAACTTCCTTTTCGGTCAAAGTTCAACAAAATTTCGCGCAGAGCCAGATTGTGATAGGCAGAAAAATCTTACCATTCACACCCTTGACCTGAAGACCGCTAACGAAGAGCCCGTGCTTGGTGGCCTGCTCGGCGGACTTCTGGATGGAGTCGACCGTCTTGTAGTCGATTTTTGAATCCTAAACAGAAATAAAAATTACGTAGTACAGTCAATACCACAACATTTGCGGGGTGGCTGGACGAGACGCTGAGCGGGGCAATGGCGCGCGTCGATCGCCCGACCACCTGAAAAGAAAGTGATCAGAATCTCAGAAATCACAAACCGTCTTGACCGAAGCTGCCTGGCGCGTCAACGACATCCCGGTGGTACCCTAAAATAAGAAATGTTTTTTTTTTTTTTAAAAGGGGTTTTTAAGGGGGGGTGGGGGGGTGGGGGGGGGGGGTGGGGGGGGGGGGGGGGGGGGGGGGGGGGGGGGGGGGGGGGGGGGGTTTTTGGGGGGGGGTAAATCCTCCATTCTAGTGGCGATCAGAGTATGGAAAACGAAATTATCCAGTATGGAAAAATCCAAAACACACACAAAGACAACAGATAGTGAAGTTGGAAAATGTACACGAAACACGCCAGCAACCCCCCAGCAGCGTATAACCCTTTGGCGCACAGTTCTCCGCGGGCAAGGCGCATGGCGCAATAGACGTGCCGCTACAAACGACATGCATCCCGCATTTCGTGTCTTTTTGAAAGCAGCTGTCTCGAAAGTTGGCCCCCATCTGGGTCCTACGTGTGCTGTGATTCTTCTCCCAAGACAAAGCATGGCGACCCTCTCACACACTAGCTTTGTGAAAAGCGGCTGCCCTGGGCCACCTTTTGCCTGCCAAGGAATTCCCATCGAATTGGCTCCTCCTTACACATAACTGCAAGCGGCGAAATGGTAAGCATCTCATCTATTTCCGGGTCCAGGGATCGCAGTAATGCAATTACATGCCTGACCCGAACATGTGGTAGTAGTTAGCCGGGCAGCATGTTCTGCACATTTCTTTTGGATCAACTCGAAATATATTTAGATGGGCGGAAAGCGACGCGGCGGAGGCGGAGGAGGGGGCCCGCCGGAACGGGTTCGAACCCATCTTCTTTTCTCTCGGGAGCACACGCAAAACACGCAGAAGCGGAAAAGACGGCCTCATAGTAAGCTTGCCTACCAAATAAGATAAGTAATTCCCCCTCCAGATAAGCTTCAAGTCACTAATGTGCATAAGAAAGATGAGATGGTGCAGGCGGGAGCAGGTAAGGCCCGCAAGGAAGTCATTAAAACATCCTTTAGTCGACCCAACTGAATGGACAGGCAACCAAAGAGTGCTCCATTTTGGACCAATGGCTCAACGCGATCCCTATTTCTACTATTATCCGAAAGGATGGGATGTCCTCTACCCAGCTACTTTTGGTTTTTTCCCATATCGGACCACGTGAGTACCTAGATCAGTGAAACAAACAAAACGATCCCAGAAGGTTCCGTGGATCTCATTCCGTCGTATGCCTAGCCGCATTTGGAATTTTCCTTCTTTTTGGTGGGCTATTGATGGTAAGATCGCATCCCCTATTCTAAAAAGAGAGATTCAGCTCTTTCTCGGCTATTTCTGGGTCTACGATACGCCATTTTGGACGTGGGAGCTTGAAATGCGGAAAAGACCCCCTCCCATCCAGGTGAAATCAATTTCATTATTGTCAAAACTTTAGTCTAAAGATTGTTGGGCCTATACTACTTCTAATCGGATCCGTGCTATGTATAGGAGCTTGCTGTGTCAGCCTAATCACTAGTGATGTAAGTTTTAGGCCAAGGTATTAAAAAAAGACCTTTAGCTTTTCAAAACATATCTTCATCATACCCGAAAACACAACGAACCGTCGCGCGTGACTACAATAACAACGACCTTCAAGGTAACGGAAACGTTAAAAGTAAAAAAGCTTATCTATAGGAACCCGAAGCTTACTTCGAAAAAGACCCCTATCAACCACTCCCCCCGCCTGCCTATCCTGTGCTAGCGAATAAATATGCGCATTCTAATCTCGTCAAACCGCATGACGAGCAGAAGTTGTATCCGCCAGTGTAAGAATATCAAACAATGACCCAATTCCCAATAGGATCCCGGGATGCTCAACCCTGTCCCTACACGGACGCAGCCCCGCGAATTTGGTGGCAAGTCCCTACAACACCCTACGTGTCTACACTCCACAACGATATCACGGGTCAACTGCCGAGGCAGATCACCGGAGAACTGGCAGCGTTGCTGGCTACCGGGGCAGCCAATCAAGCGACAATAAAAGGTAAGGTATTTTCCATGGAAAATCACCGAGTTTAGATCAAAAAGTATGGGTCCACTGCACCGAAGCGACTCGAATCGCTCCCGCAGATCCCAACGCCAACGCGAAAACAGCCAAATATAGAAAAACCCTCCAAAACTTGCTCACACAATAAACGGATCAAAAAACCTGGCATCATCAGTTCGAATTCTCGTTTGACGAGTGCCCCGGGTGGCTATCGATCCCAAGAACTTGTCATTCGTGTGAAAACCTAAACATTAGAAAATTCGGCGCAAAATGAAAATCTTTTTATTTTTTTTTGTATTTCGAGAGATTCCTCCGAACAGAAACCGGCGTTAGAATTCCTGCGTAGTCTCTTCTTTTGCTGTTTCCGCTGTGTTTCTTTTTCCAATTTTGGATAGAAACACGAGTTCGATTCTTCTTTACCTTTTATTCAGTTTTTTTTGCGTTTTCTTTTGCAAAACCTTGAAGATAGACTTTTCCAGCTAGACGAAGCTATGGCCGCCGAACCGATGGACGTCAAGCCGATTATGGCTACGTTTGCCGCCGCCGACATCAAGCCGAACCACACCATCTACATCAACAACCTCAACGAGAAAGTCAAGAAAGACGGTATGGTTTTGCTCGAGTTTCGCAAACTGGCGCACGTCATTTACTTCCCTATCTGGAGCATTGCACTTTCGCTTCAATCGGGATACCTGAACCGATTGAGTGATAATGTTATTGTTCAGAAGAAGCCCCCTGCCCCGCAGATTTCGACAAAAATGCTTCAAAATAGCGTGGGTTTGCACTTCCAGCTAAGCGCTGGCGCAAACCGAGTCTGGGCGGGTTCATTACGACTTTTTAGAACTGAAAAGGGCGCTCCATGCCATCTTCACCCAATTCGGGGAGATCGTTTCGATCATGTCGTTCAAGACGCTTCGCATGCGAGGACAGGCCCACATCATCTTCAAGGTATTTGTTGCCTTTTCTCTTTGATTTCTGTTTAGGAGGTTTCATCTGCTGCTAATGCACTCCGTTCCATGCAAGGATTTCCTTTCTACGAGAAGCCAATGGTAACTTTTTTTAAAAATCTTGAGACACGTGTTCTTTAGCGTATCCAATTCGCGCGCGAGGACAGCGACATCATTGCTCGCGAAAAGGGCACATACGTCGAGAAGCCGAAGAAGTACCAGAACCAGCGCATCAAGAAGGTCAAGAAGGTGATCACGAAGAAGGGCGAATCGGATTCTGCTGCTCCCCCGAACAAGATCCTGTTCTGCACAAATCTGCCAGACGAGACGACGGCCGATGTGCTCGAACTTCTATTCAAACCGTAAGCCGTCTCTCTTTTATTAAAAAGTACAACATTTTCCAGGTTCCCCGGACTGCGTGACATCCGCATGGTGCCGAACAGGACGGGAATCGCTTTCGTGGAGTTCGAGTCTGAAGCTGAAGCCTCCGGCGCCCGCGCAGCCCTCGACAACTTCAAGGTCACACCCACCCAACAAATGCGTGTCAACTACGCCAAGAAATAATAAGTTATTGCCCCATTGTTCCCAAATTGTATCTCATTTTCACGGTTATACCACTTTTTGTTGTTCTATTCATTTTGAAGCTGGAATAAATATGTATCGGATCAATTATTCACACGAGAGATTTGAAAGCAGCAAGAAACTTGAATTTTATGCCTCAAAGGAATTTTTCCAGAACACCCACAATTTTTCAACTCAGGGATGCGATGGCTACCGAGGCTGGTATTCGAAAGTTGGAAGCCAGCTGTGTTAATAGGGAAAGGTCGAGGCTGGCAACCACATAGATGTAGTTCCACTTCCGGCGCCAAATGTTGGAATTGCTCGAAAGTATGCTTTTCATAGACTTGGATTACAGGTGATTTAGCCGCTGGCTGGAGGATACTTCTGCGGAGAATGTAAAAAGATCCAACCTATCCCCTCAAAGAACCTCTTCGAATATATCGGAGTCGAGTCTAAGTTTGCGCTCAATGATGATGAACTGAAGAAAAAGTATGCAAGGTTTTAATTTGAAAACTGGGCTTAGGTTTCGCGACCTACAAATGCGGATGCACCCTGACAAGTTTGCGCACACTTCGGATATAGTTCGTTAGGATTTACTGATCATGCTTTGAATTCAGGAACGATCAATCTCAGGGGAACACTCGCGAATGTTAAATACTGCCATGAAAACGCTGGGCGAGCCACTGGAAAGAGCAAAGTATCTGCTGGAGACGGAAGGTCGTGAAAGTATTGGAGGTTCGTTTGAAAATTGTGCACAATGGATGCATAGTAAAATACTTTGACTACAATACAATTCGTTCCAGAAGTAGAAAAATCCCATCTGGCGCCTGAGGAACTGATGGAGGTGCTCGATTGGCAGGAGAGCGTGGCGGAAATGGAGGACGAGTCGATGCTGCAAGAAGAGAAGAGTAATGTCAAGAAGGAGGTATGTGATGAAGCCTTCATGATAGCGGGATTAATAGCTCGTCATTTGCTTATACTATTTCATTTCGAATCCAAGCTGACACGCTTCAGATAGCGACGGCGATGAAGACGTTGGACGGACAGCTGACGTCAAAGGATTGGAAAGCCTCCAAACGTACCGTCATCCGCCTTCAATACCTTTACAGCATCCGCACGGCCGTCGACAAGAAGATCGAAAGAACATTTTCCAGGTATTAGAGGCCATTATTTGTAGAGAGCTGTAAAGTTATTTACTTCGCGATCCGGTGTATCTAGCTTTTTCCCGATTTCTGTGATTAACCTGACTAGATCTGGTAGTGTTTTCATGAATATATAAAAGTCTACAAACTTTCTAATCAGCAAAACCAATCGCTTGTGACTCACTGTCAATTCCGCTATTTGAAAGTCAAGTCTGGCGCCTGTCTGCAACCCCCTTATAAATCAGCGGTTCTGCTTGGCGACGTCTCACGTGGGACGGCTTTACGGGGTTCAGGCCCGGGTTATCAGCATAAAAGACCCTTTTTTGGGCGTTGAGTGACGGCCAACAGATTTCGGGACCGTCGGCTTGTGACGGGGCAGAACGCTGGAGGCCGAGTTGGAGCTAGTTTACTGCCACCACCACCCGATTAGAACACTTTTCGGTGAAACCACGCTGGAAACGCCTGGCGTCTGGAAAAATATTTGTCGGGTATCTGGAGTTGTTGCATCTTATCACACGCAGCCAGAAATCTGGAAAAAATGCCGTCCATCACAACACCGCCAATTCCGCGAAATCCATGGCCAGTTGGGACACAGCACAAGGGCAAACTCCTATCAACAACCCCCGCCGCCCCCATCAGTCAAGCTGACGAAATTCTGTAATGGCGCCGCGGGGACGAGTCATTTTTAGGCATTATGCGGGCATAAAGTATCACTCTCCTCGAAATGGCGTGACGTCGTTCTGATGGGCTGTGGCGCGCACGGGATCCCGTTATCGCTAGGCGGCACAAAAGGCGCTTAACCTCCGTGTAGCGGCGTCGGCAAGAAGGGCAACGCATCTAATAGAGCGACTATCGTGTGATGGTATATTTCCAGTAATTCGCGTGAATATCAAAAATCTTATTAAAACGAGGGAAACAAGCGTGTTTCCCCCCTATAGCGATAGAAATAAAACGAGCCACAACAGTGCATTCTAAACTGAGAACGCTACAAAAACGTAAATAACATTTTAAGGGAGGATGTCAGAATCGCCAAAGCAAAAGCGCCAACCACTAAAGCGCGCAGGCAGAAGCGCCAAACGAAAAGCGCCCAATGCCCAAAAGCGCCCAATGCCAAAAAGCGCCCAATGCCCAAAAGCGCCCAATGCCAGAAAGCGCTCTATGGAGAGAGGAAACAATTACATAAAATGGCTTTTTTTCAAGCTTTGTATGCCTTTTAAACGTTGTTTAGCGATAGGTAGGCTTTGTAGACGGCAAATTATCACCCCGAGCGGGTTGTTTTGGCCTTATTGGGTTTTTTTGGCTTGAATTGCCGTGTTTCAGTCTCTAGTTTTACCGGGTTTGCCTCATGTTCTCACGATTTCTTGATGTTTTCAGTCACAATACTGTTGCAGGCACGAAATACTTGTTATAAAACAGTGTTTGGAGGCCAGAACGACGAGAAAAACGCCGTATTTCCGGGTAATGGATCCGAAAATGGCACTAAACAAGCTTTCCACGGCGACTTTATACCTTTCTCACATTAGAAATGTATATTCGGACCGGTTCGAGCATGTCGAGATCAAGAAACTACGTCAAAAATAGTGGAAAAGCTGCTTTAGAAGAGAACTAGCTATTCGAGTGAAAGAATGCCCTAGGAGGCCAAAATAACTTGAACCAGTCGGTAATTTATGGCCTAGTAGGTCGAACTGCCGCTAAACTACCATAATAACACCAGAAAACCTATTAAAACAACTATTTTATCTCTACTTTATGTAATTGTTTCCTCTCTCCATACGTTGGCTTTCCCCATAGAGCGCTTTCTGGCATTGGGCGCTTTTGGGCATTGGGCGCTTTTTGGCATTGGGCGCTTTTGGGCATTGGGCGCTTTTCGTTTGGCGCTTCTGCCTGCGCGCTTTAGTGGTTGGCGCTTTTGCTTTGGCGATTCTGACATCCTCCCCATTTTAATAATGCACGTAGCTATAAGTAGAGGGGCTTTAAAATAACGGATTTTGCCTCGAAAATAGCATCTCGACCTTCCATTACTAATCACGATGATTAATACATAGTCTAACATAAAGTTTACTATTTTTAAAAGTTGCTTTGCAATTAAACAAAAAAAACCGTTGTGAATTGCTAAAATATGAACATTTTTCGGGACTTACCGTAATACGAGTACTCAACAGCACTAATTACAAAACGATAGTGTGCGAGTCCGACACGGGAGGGTTTTTGACCCTCTGACGTAAGTGTGTGCCGGGGCGCGCTTTAGCAGTGACAGAGTTCCGGGCGCGCCACATTACGTATGGCCGTAAGGTGTATAGAACGGAACACTTTTTTAATGTATTCCACTTTAATTTCTTGCTTCTAACAAACAGAATATACATGTAATAGTAAAAAGAATCATGTAGAAAGTGTTACTAACCAGAGGACAGTGTTTTCGCGAGTTGGGAACTGATGTTTGTCACCTCATAGGATTATACTGAGGAGAATCATTTACTTTAGCTTGGTGTTAATGTTCGTCATAGTATTAGTGTATGAAAGGAAAAGAACTTGAAATCTTTAAACTTAAAATGAAGCATACAAAGAGCCCACGGGAAAAGCTCGCGTGGCTTGACGGAAGTACAACATAATCTCGAGCCACTCCTGGACCCGCTACCATGTAAGATTTTTGGCTTCTTCGAAAGAGTTAAAGTTTTCGCAATTCTTCACATGTCTGTGGTTTTTGCGAAAGTTCCTGCGCCCCTGCTTCTTTGTAATGAATGGCTTTTTGTAATTCAAGACATCGCGGTAGCTTCTGATTTAGAAAAAAAGTATTTCAGACGGAGTCTACAATTAATATCGGGCAGAAGTGAACCAATCAACAAAAATACTGGTATATATTCCCAAAATTCCGAAAAGCCATGATACTGACGATTAACTGTTCCAGATTTACCATCATAAGGTTCTTTTATTTATTAAAAAGCCTTCTGCATACTTCTTTTACTTTATATCCACTTTGTAAAAAATAAATGCAGAAGAAAGTATTCCGTTCTATACACCTTACGTCCATGCGTAATGTGGCGCGTCCGGAACCCCCTCACTGCTAAAGCGCGCCCCGGCACACACTTACGTCAGAGGGGTCAAAAACCTCCCGTGTGAGTCCGACATTGTTCTCTTTTCATGTCGTAATGCTGACAACGGATGACCCAAAATGGTCATTTTTGTGTTTATTATATGGCCAAAATTCGCTTTCAACGAAGAGTTAGATCGTGGCTCCTTCATGCCATCCCATTCTTGAAAAACCCAAATACGCTTTTCCAGGACATTCAGCACCAGTGCCGCTATGTCGACTTCTCCGGCTCCCCCCCAAAGAGGTTTGCCTTTACAAGTGGTTCTTGTGAATTAGCGGGGGGGGGGAAGGCGCAGCGGGCAACCTTTTTCGAATCAACTTTCCTACTATGAATAGAGGATCAGTACCTACACAGGTTTTTTGTGGTTAAAAAGGCTAAATCTTGATTTTTCGACCAAATTTCAAACGTTTTTTTCAAATTCTCGATTTTCAAGGGACCGCATTAGAATGTTATGTTGCATCTTTGGACTTCTATCCTCGGGGGGCCCGCTAAGCGGGTTCAAATTCCTGGCCCGATGAGTGAAGGCGGTAGGCGTGGGCTTTTGGCGCGTCTGATCCCGCCCCGGAGCAGCAAATGGTTACGCTGATAACGGGGCAGGGGGCATCTTCACACTTCAGACATTCACACGGTACCCGATTTAGGATCCGTCTGACGAGTACGCCATGTGCCGGGCACATCATCGTTTTGCACGCAAGGTTGTTAGGGTTGTTTTTTCGTAAATTCTCCAATTTTAGGACCCGTGCTCGTGCGCCAATGGCGACGAGGTCCAGGTTTCGCACTATGCTCTCCGCTGGCACGTGAGAAGGTGTTTGAATGTCCCTTTATTTTATTTTAGGTCCATTTTCCGTTGAAGATGCTGATCGGAAGTGTCACGTTGACGGCCAAGGTTCTCAAGACAACTCAGCATGTCGTGAGTTTCTTGGTCTCGGTCTTTAAAACTCAGGGAGGGGCCCAAATTTTCCTATTAGTCTAGTAATTCCTAGTAACGCAATAATAAGTTTTGCAAAGCAGTTTTTAGGAGAATTTAACTAGATTGCAAATGAGAAACTATCCAAAAAACGGAGGAATGTTCTGAAGAAGTGATATTTTGGGCAAAAATTGGTGATTTTGCTCAGAAAACAAGTTTATAAATACTTCCGCTATTTAAGAAGCGCCTACTTTTATTTTTCTGGATAGGAGGGCTAGAAAGTTTTGAAGTGTAAGCTAGAAATTGAGAAAAGGATAAGCTAGAAATCCATGTTTAGTGGCTGGACGTTCGAGATCTGTCCATCCGTTCGGTGACTGTCTGCGGAAAAAATGCCGACTTCCGCATCGCCCCCAACGTCTACACCTTCTTCGGCTCACGTATGAAGATCTACCTCCCGGTCGACTGCCAGCGCGAGGGCCAGGAATTGTGGGTTTTCTATTTCTCTTCCAAATCAGAATCAAACTCACGCACGCGTTTCAAGTACACGCGCGGAACATTGACCTTCCCCGCAGTGGCCGGTCGGACTGCCAAAAGGCCCTTATCTTTTGTGACTGTATTTTGGGGGCTCACGTGGGCGGCCGTCGGCACAACCACCTAATCCGCCTAGCCGGCTAGCCTTAACCGGCATGTATCAGATTTCGTTGAAATTGGGATAGATCCTGTTCAAAGTGCCTGGCACCGGGATGTCATTGGGTTAGCGTGTTGCTGCATCGTCAATTGTTGGCCCCTGGGGTGTGGTGCCAAAACTTCGACTTGGGTTTTTTTGGAGTGAAAAAGTATGGACTTTTTGCTTTTTTAGGGAAATCGTTATCGACTATTCTACATCCCCCGATGCTTCTGCCCTGCAATGGATGAAGAAAGAGCAGACACAGGACAAGGTTCTAGAATAAAGTTGATCTTTATTCAGTTTTAGAAAGCTCCCTACCTCTTCTCGCAATGCCAGGCCATCCACGCGCGCTCGATTATGCCCTGCATGGACACTCCCTCCATCAAGTCCACTTACGACGCCCAAGTTACCGTGCCAGCCGGCTCGACCTGCTTGATGTCGGCGATCAACGAGGGATCGAAGGGAACCGACGAGGAGACGACCTTCTTCTTCAAGCAACCCGTCGCCATCCCGTCCTACCTTCTAGCTATTGTTGTTGGTGAGGAGCTACCGTATTTTCAAAGTTTTTGTTTTTAGGAGTGCTGGCCAAGCGCGATATCTCCGACCGCTGCGCCGTCTGGGCCGAGCCGTCGATGGTCGAGAAGGCCCACTGGGAGTTCAACGAGGTTTGTACTATTTTGATTTTCACAACAATACTCATTTAGACCGAGGACATTCTGGCCACCGCCGAAAAAATTGCCGGAAAATACATCTGGGGCCGCTACGATATGGTCTGCCTGCCGCCCACTTTCCCGTTCGGTGGCATGGAGAACCCGTGCTTGACCTTCTTGACGCCGACGCTGATTGTGAGCATCCGGAGCTGAGAATTTCTATATTTTTTGTTTTAGTCTGGAGATCGTTCGCTCGTCTCCGTGATCGCACACGAAATCGCCCACTCCTGGAGCGGCAACTTGGTGACGAACAAGAGCTGGGAACACTTTTGGTAACGCAGTTCTTTACCGTCACCTTACAACGGTGTTTAGGCTGAACGAGGGCTTCACCATGTTCATTGAGCGCAAGATTTGCGGTCGGCTGGTCAACGAGAAGTACAGGCAATTCATGTCGTTCAACGGATGGACGAACAACTTGATCCCGGCGGTGAGATTGCCAGTGGTTTTCCGGAATTGGTTGTCTAGGTCTACGAGCAGTTCAACCCGACGCACCAGTTCACGCGGCTTATCCAAGACCACGAGAATGTCGATCCGGACGTCGCCTTTTCGTGTGTGCCGTATGAGAAGGGATCAGCGTTGCTCTTCTATCTTGAACAGAAATTGGGTGGACCTGGTATGCCTTGGTTTAAAAGAGGAATTTTGCTATTCGTAGTCAAAATGCTACAAGAATTCTGTTACAAATATAAAAATCGAGATTTTCCGACAAAAAAAGCACGATTTTTCGCCATAATTTCTTATTTTTACAGTTTTCAGAATTTTCACATTAGTTTTTCCACTTCAAAGATAAATACACTACTAAAAAGGCCATGAACTAATGCAAAAACAATAATAGAACAATAATAATTAATAGCAAAAACTAGGCCCTCTCCCTGCATTATTGCTTTCTTTAAGACGTCTTCGAGCCGTACCTTCGCGACTACCTCTCAACGTTCGCCCACAAAGCCATCGACTCATTCCAGTGGAAGGACCACCTCTACAAGTATTTCCATGTAAGCTAGTTTTTAAAAAAAAATGGAATAATTCATTTAGGACAAGAAAGATATCCTCGACACGGTCAACTTTGACCAGTGGTTCTTCGCCGTCGGCATGCCGCCCGAGAAGCCCGTCTATGACGAGGAGATGCTACACGACTGCGAGGCCCTTTTCAAGCAGTGGATTGAGGCCGATGAGGCTGCCGTTAAGGTATATCTACTCAACTTTAACATTATATCCTTTCTCAAGACTATCACCGCTGAGCGCTACCAAAAAGATGCAGCCCCTTCAACAAATCGAATTCCTCAGCCAGCTGTGGCAGGTAGTGAATATTTTTATCCGCCGAAAACCCCCCTGTTTCCAGCATGACCCGCCATTGGAGCACTACAAGCTTGAAGCACTCGACGCCCTCTACAAGCTCAACGACAGCCAGAATTGCGAGATCGTCTTGAAGTAATTTTTGAACTGAATTTTCCAAACGTGCTGTTTTTAGCTGGATTCGCGTGTGCATCAAGGCCAAATGGGAGAAGATCATTGACAAGGCCATCTGGTTCGTCGAGTCGCAGGGCCGTCTGAAGTACTGCCGCCCCGTCTACAGGTATTTCTTACAGGCTAGGCGAGGCTAGGAGACCCTCGGGTCATCTCATTTATTTTTGCGTTGTTGGGGGTGTGTGCGATTCCCCCGGCCCGTCACCACCACTTTTAGCCAGCGCGTAAACAGAGACGCGGCCGCTTTGTAAACTATGTGGGGCGGCGATTATTTTCGGGGTCAATGATCGGATGACGATTTGTCGGCGGCGATAAAAAGTGCAAAGTATAGTATATTCTCGTTAAAGGGGCTAAAAAGTCTTGTCCATCCCTAAGCTTTGATTCCTGCAAAGATGCCAAATGTTTCCTTTTTTATAGCGAAACAAATTTTCTTATACGTGTAGGCGGTCTTTTTTTTTTGAAAATTCGGTCGTGTTCCAAAAGATTTGAATTTTTAACTTACCATCCCCTTTAATTCCAGGGCCCTCTACGCGTGGCCGGTCGCCCAAAAGCGCGCCAAGGAGACGTACCTGCGCACGCGCAGCGAGATGCACCCCATTACCGCCGAGATGATAGCCAAGGAGCTGCACGTTCGCCATTCCACACACACCGTTTGCTTCTAGACACTTTTTTTGTTATATTTCCATCTTCCCATCCATCCCGGTCACGACATAACGGTGATTGTTTTTTTTGGGGCTCTTCCCCCCACTTTTCTTTCACTTTCGCTGCTGCACATACAAACCGCTTTATTATATGGCACAAAAAGGTACAGAAATAAAGTTGTTCATTTATGCATTGATTTTGTTCATGTTGTGTGTTTTTTTCTCGGAAATTTTGGCCAGAGATCAAGCAGTAAATAGGAAAGGGTGGCACATGCGGCATTTCATCGAATTCAGGGTCTGATTTAGACGGGGCATCCGGCCGATCCAGCGGTGCATTTGCACTCCTGGTCCTTCATGAAGCGCTTCGTGATTTCGCGGCCGTTCGAGTCCTTGCCGGTGACGCAGAGGCAGCCTGTAAAAGATTTTTTTTCCTTGAAAGTGGTGCATTATAGCTTGGCCTAAAAGCCGAGGGTTCGAAGCTACCTTTCGGCCTGGGGAAGCAGCCCTCGCGCAACCCCTTGAACTTCTCGTTCAGCTCGTTGACGACGGCCCGGTAGTTGGCCTGGGCACGCTCGCGCACCGGGTCGCGCACGTTTTGCGACGGCTCCTCGATGTCCTGGAATTGTTTTTAATGTTATAAAGCATCAGTTCAGCTATCTTTTCGAAAACCAAATTTCCTTGGAGCTCAAACATCGGGAATCTAATAATTTAGGCAATGATTTGGCGTTAAAAAAGCGCGAAATGCGGAATTTATATCAGTCCAACATCAGCCACAATTGCTTTCTGACCTTGGCGTTCTGCTGGCGGGCGTTGATGTTGAACTGGGGCTGCGTCTGCGTGCGCGGCGCCTCACGCTTTTGCTTGTTGTGCTGAAACGGTTATATTAAAAGGTATTAAAATCCTTTTTGATGTGGTGAAAGTATTAAATAGTGCTAAATGTATTCAAAGCTTACCGGGACCAACTCCTTGCATTGCGCGTCGGCGCTGTACGTGGCGACCACCTCGGCGCCGCTAGCGTCTTTTTCGTTGCACTTGCATCCGCCGGACGGCTAGAAATCGAAATCAGAAAAATGTCCAAGAATCGAATCTTCTCAAATTCCCTAGCTAACCAACTAGCCAACCTTGGGGAAGCAGTTCTCCTTGAAGTCGCCGTACTTCTCCTTGATCTCCTGGTTCAGCTCCTTCTTGTGCTCGGCGGTTTGGACTAAAAAAAGAAATTGGGGATACATTTTCACCTCTAAAAGTTTAGCATTTTGTTGCCTAAATAACGGCAAAATTACCGTACCCTCGGCGCTCTTCTTGCATTCGGCGTCGGTGTTGAACTCGGCCCACGTCGGCTCCTCACCGGTACGGCCGAGGTTCACCTGGCATTTGCAGCCGCCGGACGGCTAGAAGATGATGGTTTTTGTAGGTTTTAAAGGGAATAATGGGTAGTATAAATGATAGTATTAAAAACTACAAACTACAAACTTTTGCAAATAAATACCCTGGGAAAGCAGTTGTCCTTGAGCCCGCCGAATTTCTGCTGGATCTCCTTGTTCAGCGCCGACTTGTGCTCGACCGTTTGTTCTATAAAAATAGGAATTCAAGTTTTCACAACTAAAATAAACGTAATTTTATCTAAATTTAATGTTTCATTAAAACTCACGCTCAACCGACTTTTTGCACTCGGAGTCGGTGTAAAAGTTGCGCGTCTCCACTTCGTCGCCCCATTTCACCTCGCACGCGCAGCCGCCCGTAGCCTGAAAGGTTTTGGGGGTGAAAGCCTTTTTTACAAAAATCGGTAAGGGATTCTTTTTAAAGGGACGTGTAAGGCATCGGTCGTTGAGTGAGTTCAGGTGCAGTCTACCCTCCCCCCCCTCCCCCAGCTACGCCTATTGTATCTTGGCTCCCCGTTGTGCTACAGGGGTGTAAAGTATACCAAAATGCTCGCCAGGGAAAGACGAACATTTTGGTATACTTTACAGCACTGTAGACAAACCGCGAGGGAAGATACAAGGGCCGGCGCCAGCTGCCAGGTGGGTCGGGGTAACTGCCCTTTTCCTGCCGGTTCTAACACTCCACCGACGCATTAATGGTAAGCGGAACAACCAACCGGCCTTTATTTTGCTATCACTGGCCATTCAATTTAATTAATTCTAATTTAGTTAGTTTCACTTTAATTGCTTTAATTTGTTAGATAAAAATTGTCACCTTTGGCTTGCAGTTGTCCTTGTACGCGTCAACACCCGACGCGACGGCCGTATCACGGCGGGATGCTGCCTGAAATGATAAAAAGTGCGATTTTGCTTTGGTGGTTGGTAGCAAGGGGTAAGCCATAGTCTCAGCCCAAGCCTATGCCTAAACCTAAAGCCAATTTCGGAACCGTAACTAATTTTCTAGGTAAAAATTGGCCCTACAGGCGAGGAAGCACGGAAAAACGAGAGTGAGCAGACAAAAAAAATCCCCAAATAACCCGAGGAACCCTTTTTTATACAATAACCCATCCGTAAAGAAGACGCAAAGTGTACTCAGATCATCCAAAAGTCAAACAGACCTGGGTTGCGACGACAAAAAGCCCGAGCGAGAATAGGAGGGAGCGCATTTTAGGGAGGGGACTGAGGGGGAAGGGATACTCTCAACACACATATATACCCCCCGTGTCCCACAGATGTGCTTGCTTTTTGATGGGGAGGAGGAGGGGCTTTTCTCACCACTATCTCTCTCTCTCTCTCTCTCTCTCTCTCTCTCTCTCTCTCTCTCTCTCTCTCTCTCTCTCTCCCTCCTCCAAGGGGCCATTTGATCGATTGAGGGCGGAACTGATCGAGACGATGATCGAGCTGTTTTCCACTTTTTCTCCAATTTCAGGAGCGACCGCTCGGAACGGGTGAATCACCCGGAAAGCTTTACGTCCGAAATAATGAGTCATTACGGTGAGAGGGCATCGTTTAGAATGGCTGACCCGTGATTGAGACAATGTTCTCGAGACCTGCCAGACAAAATAAATAGTGGCTTGACGTTTTAAAGGGATTGGGACAGCTGGGAAATATGGTGAAATTTAGGAAATGGAAAAAAGCGACAAACGAGATTTAATAACAACTTAAAGATAATTAAATAGATGTCTCTGGGTACAGTAGAGAGAGAGAGAGAGAGGGGAGAGAGAGAGAGAGAGAGAGAGAGAGAGAGAGAGAGAGAGAGAGAGAGAGGGAGAGGGAGAGAGAGAGAGAGAGAGGGAGAGGGAGAGAGTGAGAGAGAGAAAGAGAGAGAGAAATAGAGAGTGAGGGTGTGAGAGAGAGAGCGAGCGAGAGAGAGAGAAAGTGAGAGTGAAGGCCAGAGAGATCGTAAGGCGTCGCATGCATCTAATCTACCGCATTCACACCGACGTCTTTAAACTGTTGAGTCGATCGGGCACATCAACCTCATTAAAAAACAAAGGAAAACTAGCAAAACGCATGTCGGTGAATATCGACATTTTTTGCGGGCAGTTGTTGTCCGGGGCATAGGCGATGATGGGGCTATGGCCCTGTAAGTGCATAGGTAGATCGAGATACGGATCTCTCGGTTTGTGTCTGTCTGTCCGTCTGTCTATCGGTCTTTTTGTGTGTCGCTCTGTCCTTTGCCTCCACACGTAACCCTTACCACCCTCAAAACTTGTTTATATGTTTTTGAAGGTCGATCCTCCGGCCCTCAAATACGGCACGTAACCCCTTAGCTAACGCGATTCCAAACCATTTACACATATAATTGTCTTTGAGGTAAGTATAGTAGCTTACGCCTAAGCCTAAACCTAAACGTAACCTAAGCCTGCGCCTAAGCCAAGCCTACCCTAAACCTAGGCCTAAGCCTAAGCCTAAGCCTAAGCCTAAGCCTAAGCCTGAGCAATCTGCTTGGTTGCCGGTCTCTTGAACTTCTCCAGCCGTTTTTCAGCTCGTGAATCCAGACAAATCTGGAAATGGCCGTCGATGTACTGGCCCTGGCCAAAACGGGCCGAGAACTGATGGCCGATCTCTGGGAGCAGCACGAACACGCCGAAGACTTTTCGCCATCCTCTCTGTTCTCCACTCCCAGTGTCCGGGTGTCAATTCGTAAAAGTCAACACGCCGATTGCCCGGAAGATGTCGTCAAGGCGGCTACGGTGTTGGAGGTGAGGTTTTTCGGCAATTTACGGTCTGACGCCGTCGAGCAGTTCGCGGCGCGTAACTTCTTTTGGCCCAGAAAAGCTTACATAAAAAGCAGAAAAGCTTGTTAGGCTTAAAGCCTAGCCTAAGCCAGCCGAAGCCAAGCCTAAGCCTAAGTCTAAGCATAAACATAAGGCTAAGCGAAAACGGGAACCTAAGCGAAGTCTAAGCGTATGCCTAAGCCTAAGCCTAAGCCTAAGCTACAGTCTCATCCTAAACCCGGCCTAGGCCCAACCTAACCCGGGCTTAGTCTAAGCTAGAAGCTCTAAAAAACTCCATTTCAGGGAATCCCCCTCGAGAAAGCAGTGGCTCTCGTGTTACCCTGGCTTCCCTATCGCACCCAATGGGACACACTTTTAGCGGTATGTTTCTGAAGACAATAATACCTTGAAAAATATGCCTTTAGGAAGCCCCCGTAGTCGTCGACATCTCCCCGTACCTAAAACTAGTTCACCACATAACCAGGAAGAAATGGCCACTGGGCCCCCGGGATTCCGTTGATGTGTGTTCGGTGGAGCGGCGCGGAGCTACCGTAGCCGTTGGAGCTCGGTCTGTAGATGTCGGGGATACTGTAGCCCCGTTGGCTGGGTATACGAGGACATGGCAATATTTAGCCGGATATGTGTTGAGCGATAAAGGGGATGGTGGGTTTTTGAGCCTTGAATTGAGTTTCTCTCCCTCTCTCTATCTCTCTCTCGCTCGCTCTCTCTATCTCTATCTCTTCGCTTTACGCTACACTACTATTTACAGGTATCATCAACGCGGAGATGTATTTCCAAGGTGACATCCGCCTGGCCGGGGTGGGCCCCCTTAAATCTCTATTCGACAATTTCAAGCCGAAATGTATTGGTGAATTAATGGGAAATCTTCGAAAGGATGCTAAACATCTACAAGTATCGGCTGAACATCTTGAAGACGCCGGATTATATACAATGGATTCAGGAGATTAATTTTTACATGGCTATCCTCTCCCTCTCTCTCTCTCGTTCTCTGGCTCTTTCTCTCTCTCTCTCTCTCTCTCTCTCTCTCTCTCTCTGCTTATTTTGAGGCGACCTATAGTTCGACACCGCAATAAACGTCTTAGAGACCGAAGCTGGAAAGTATAGAGGACACGAAAGAGAGAGAAAGACGGGGACAGAGGGAGAGAGAGAGAGAAAGTCGAGAAACAGACAGACAAACAGACAGACAGCGAAAACCTAAAATGTCGAAAACAAGCCACCGACATGTGCAAGTCGTTCAGGCCGTCTGCTGGCTAACAAGAACCACATGACAGACCTATCCCCGGCCTCAAAGTTCAGGGCCCGACTTCGAGAGGTCAATTCCTGAAAATAAATGAAAGCTGCGAAACTCGCAAAAGCGGGAAAACTAGAAACAATTAGGAATAGGCAACCAGGCGGAGAAAAAAGGAAAATACATCTAAAGGGTCTGGAACGACAAAAAATGAACTTTGTGGCCGGCCCCTTTAAAACGTCTTCTTTCTTCCACCTGGATTTCTTCTAGAAAAAAAATGGAAGAGATATTAAGGGGGGAAGGAGGAAGTTGCCCCTAGCGATCCGATCGTAACGCGGGACCCCGATCGGGTTGCCTGGATTCGGACTAGGATTCCATTCGGCGCCCAAATTCCGCAGAATTTCGCATTTCCTTTTGGTTTCCGGATATTGGATTTGCCGGCTTATGGTGGTTTTTGTTAATTTTTTGAGTGTTGTTATAATTATGTGAATTACGTAGTTTTATGAATTTTTGATAGTTATGGTAGTACACCAGTAGTTTATTTGCTTTTTCGGGATTTTACTACTTTTATTGTTTTGTTTTAGAGCTACGTTAACCTTCTGTATTTTTCTCTCTTGCAGCGCTACGGTAATTTGTGTGATTTTTTGCAGTAATCTTTATGATTTCTTATGATAATTGTAGAGGTTTTTGGCCTTTTTGGAAGGCTACAGTAGTTTATTTTTTAAGCTTTCTAGTTATCTTCGATTAACTACAGGCTACAGAATCGTTTTAAGCTACACCCTGCTCCAAATGACGGGTCCTCGGAACCGTCGGCCGACGCTCTATGGCGATTCGGCGTTGGCCGGCTTTGAGCGGCCGCCGTCCGTTACTGACACCCCACATCCGACCGGGCATATGGAATCTGAGGTGCGTTTTTTGGAGATATTCGGAGTATTGGCCTATAAGCGCCCGTTCCCGGAACATTATTTGGACACAGGGCTAAGCCTAAACTCAAGCCTAAGCCCAAGCCTAAGCCTAAGCCCAAGCCCAAGCCTAAGTCATAGCCTAAGTCTAACCTAACACGACGCGTAAGCATGGGCCTAAGCTAAGCCTAAGCTAAGCCTAAGCTAAGCATATGCCTACACCTCAGCCCAAGCTTAGCCCCAAGGCTAAGCCTTTTCCAGGAATTCGAAGGTGACTACTCCGGCAAATTCTCCGGCAAGAACACAAACAACCCGAAGGGGGCCAAGGGGGCCGTCGGGAAATTTCTTGGCGGCGTGCAGGGTAATCTACCGTACTATCCCCTATACCGTATCCAGGAGCCATCGATTCTCGTCGTGGGAAGGGAGTGAATATGACGATTCGCGAGATAGTCGTCTTCTTGCTCTTCTTGGTCATCCTCTGCATCAGTGCGTTTTAAAGGGACTGGGAAGGGAGGTGTCAGATTTCAGTCGCGTTTGCTTCGACGTCATCAAATACGTATTATTTCACGTCGGCGATGCAGGCGCTGTTTGTGAATAGTCAGGATGAGAATGGATATACTTTTTCGGATGTTTCGACGATGGATGATGTTTGGAATGTGGGTAGAGAGAGAGAGTGAGAGAGAGAGAGAGAGATAGAGAGAGACAAATGGACAGAGACAGAGAGAGCCAGCGAGAGAGACGGAGAGGCAGATAGAAAGACATAGAGAGAGAAAGAGAATGATAAATATTTCTAGTACATGAACGACCAACTGGTAGAAGGGCTGTACATGACCAACGACTGCGAGACGGTCACCGACGCCGAGGGCAACGAAAGGCTGTTATGTGCCGGGGCCGGGGTATCGCAGAATGACACGGAAAATGCGATGGTCTACTATGAGAATAAGCTGCTGGGGATGCCGAGGATCCGCATGCTAAAGGTATAATACTTTTTGAGGCGCCCAACGTCTGCGCTATTCCTCAAAAATCTTTGCTAGTCTGCCTTCCAAGCGCTGATTTCCTCAAAAAACTTTGCTAGCCTGCCGAGGTACGGAATTCCGCAAGAATCCCTGCCAGTTACCATGAAAAGTCACCTACCAGGTGACGAACGACTCGTGCACGGTCGTGGACCCATTTTCGCGTGAGATCAAGGAATGTTTTGCTTCATATACGTAGGTTTACGACTCTCTCACTCTCTCTCTCCCTCTCTGCTTCTCTCTCTTTCTCTCTCTCTCTTTCGCTATATCTCTCCTTACTGCAGTGGTACAATTTTTTAGTGAGGATCGCGAAGACCGCAGCGACATTGATATCTCAAACAGTACAGATTTCACCGATTCTGACTATTCTGCGTAGGGATTTGCATACCGTCTATTAGTGCGCCTTCAGGTTCAAATGGCAGTCCGAGGAGGAGCTATCGACAGGGACTATCTACGGCCAAATGGGGACCTATGGGGGTGGAGGGTTTGTCGCGTTGCTGCCGATGAGTAACAAATCGGTGAGAGAAGAGAGAGAGAGAGAGAGAGAGAGAGAGAGAGAGAGAGAGAGCGAGAGCAAGATACAACAAGTATAATATAGGGAGCTCTGGAGGTGATCGAGAAGCTGCTGTACAACCGTTGGATCGAGCGCGGCACGCGGGCCGTTCTCGTTGATTTCTCCCTCTACAACGCCAACATCAACCTGTTTTGTGTGTGTCGGTGCGTTAATAGGAAGCCTGCCCACTAAGCTTAAGCCTAAGCCTTGCCGATGCCTAAGCCTAAGCCTAGGACTAAGCCTACTCCAATTTAAGTCTTTCAGCCTCCTCTTCGAACTCCCCTCCACCGGTGGCGTCATCCCGACCGCCAACTTCGAGACGTTGCAGCTCATTCGCTACGTCACCACCTTTGACTATTTTGTGTTGGTTTGCGAGGGCGTGTTCACCGCCTTCACCCTGTTCCTCGTCTTCGAGGAGTTGCTCGAGATCATGAAGTGGCGGCTACGGTACTTTGAGAGCTTCTGGAACATCATCGACGTGCTCGTCATCTTGGTGGGGTACAAAAAATGGATAAACAACGTAGATTTTCAGCTCTCAATCGTGACCATCGTTCTGTCGCTGAACCGGATTCGTGTATTTGAGAACCGGGTCAATATCCTGGTGAATGGTACGTTAAGTACGCTGGAACGCGCTAGAATGGTGTTCAGATGATCTCGAGGTGGCAAGTATGGACGACGCAGTGACGGCTAACAATAACTATTCGAACTTCTTGGCCGTGTTGTTGTTCTTCTCGTGGATGAAGGTACGGTATACGGAGGGTTAAATATTCAGCTTAACGTCTTGCAGATGAAGACTTTGTCTCTCTCACTCTTGCGCACTTTCTCTCTCTCTCTGTCTCTCTCTGGCTTTTAAAGGGAGTGTAACAGGCTTAAGCGATTACGCCATCAAATCCAATTCACTTTCTAGATCTTCAAATACATCAGCTTCAACAAAACAATGTCCCAGCTGTCCGCCACTCTCTCCCGATCCGCCAAGGGTACTGTAGAACATCATCTGCCTAATTTGATAGATTCCGGCCATCGTTTTACTGTACTTCTTTCTAGACATTGGCGGTTTCGCCGTGATGTTCTTCATCTTCTTCTTCGCCTACGCCCAGTTCGGATACCTTTGCTTCGGGACGCAGGTTAGGCACAGATAAATCAGCACTGAAAGTATTTGGAGGGATTACTGTAATTAGCCCTAAGCCTAAGCCTAAGCTTAAGCCTAAGCCTAAGCCTTAGCCTAAGCCTAAGCCTTAGCCTAAGCCTAAGTCTAAGCCTAAGCATAAGCCTTAGCCTAAGCCTAAGCCTAAGCCTAAGCCCAAGCCCAAGCCCAGGCCTAAACTTACGGAAAATGGTGATTGTCAGATCCAAGACTACTCGACGTTCTACTCGGCCGTATTTGCACTGCTGCGGACGATTCTCGGAGATTTTGGTAGGTGAAGGAGAGCGAGAGAGAGCGAGAGAGAGAGAGAGAGAGAGAGAGAGAGAGAGAGAGAGAGAGAGAGAGAGAGAGAGAAAGAGATAGAGAGAGCGAGAGGGAAACGTCAATTCCCAGATTTCCATGCCCTGGAAAACGCAAACCGTGTGCTCGGCCCAACTTTCTTCATCACCTATGTCTTCTTCGTCTTCTTCGTCCTGCTCGTAGACTATTTTAACGAACTAACAACCCATAAAGTTCAGAACATGTTCCTGGCCATCATCAACGACACGTACGTCGAGGTGAAACAGGAGCTGGAGAAGCAGAAGAGCGAGTACGAGATTGCCGAGTTTGTCAAGACGGTGGGGTTTGTAGCGTATAATTCTTCGCTTGAAGTTGTAGTTTGTAGCCCCTCGAAAACTTATCTCACCATCTTCTAGGGATTCTACCGCGTGCTCCGCTTCTTGCACTTGACAAAGTCGGGCGACGCCGAGCCGCAGAGTGACTACGCCAAGTGGCGCCACGAGTTGACACGGTGAGGATTGGAGCCTGTAGTTTATAGATTGCAACCTATGGTAGCTTGACTGGCAATTCCTATAAATTTCCAGCCGCGGCTACACCGACGAGGAGATTAACGACAAGTTCATGAAGTTCAACATTGACGAGGGGTCGGTGACTGGCGCTGATGAGGTATCGGGGATTTTGGCTTCAACGGTCCTTTAAGGGGCTTGGAAGCAATTTCATGTCGTAACCGGTTATTCCGAAACGAATTTCCTATCGTAACCGCGTATTACGATACGAATTTTCATGTCGTAACCGGTTATACCGATGCGAAATATATGGCGTAATTGGTTATTCCTTGGAAATCTCTAAAATCCAACCTTTTTTAGAAGGAGAAAATCGAAAATGAGCTCGCCTCGGACCGGGATTTCCGCTCGAACGGCACCGCCCAGAGCAACGACACCATGGCGTTAGTTTTAGAATTTTAGGAATTAACGAGCTTTGACGGACATTAATTGCCAAAAATGCTCAATTTCAGCCTGAACCGCCGCATCGACCACATCGAAAACTCGATCGGACGCATCCTGGGGGATGTGGGTTGAGACGGCCGTCCCTTAAAACCATTTTTGCAGATGTCGCTGATCCTTGACCGTTTCGAGGTGATGGAGGAGCGGAAGGTGCTGGCCAAGGAGCACGAGGTCTTGCTCGCTCACCAGGTACCCAAAACCTGAATTTAACTTCTCAAAACAAAGCAAATAAAAAAATTTAAATATTTTAACGTTTAATAGCTGTATTCTTGCCAGAGTTTAATCATTAAAAACGATTTTCCTCGAACAATTATTTTTTTGGTTAGCATTACATTTTGGTTATTTTAGAGCCGAATCCTGAACCGTCCGGATGGGGAGCACGACGGAATGTGAAGCTGGGGTCATTTATCTCTCTTTCTCTCTCTCTCTCTCTCTCTCTCTCTCTCTCTCTCTCTCTCTCTCTCTTCTGGGACATCTTTTAGCGGGGGCACACGGCCTACTTGTTACAGCGAATAAATACTTACCTTGGAAACCATAAAAAAACAGGTGCGAATCCGCTGGCTCGCGCTGATGTTGGCGCTCGAATTACAGACACCACAACCAGCAATTTTCAAAAATATTCACAACATTTTAAAGTCTATCGAAACGGGCGGGTTAGCTTTCGGGTACATAACCCAGGGAAAAGCGATTTTTTTGGCTGGGTTTTGTGTGTTTTTGGCACCGGAAGTTGCTGAAACTGGTTTTTGATAGTGCCACTTTTCGATTTGATTCTTTTGCATTAGCGGGGGAGGGGAGGTTAGGTAAAAAGCACCAAATATGTAATGAATTCCTAGATACCTATACCCAAAATCATGGAAATTTTAAGTGGCTCTCAAAATCGTCAAAGGTGCCCCCCCAATTGCCGACCCGGATCTTTGCTGTCCCGTAATTTTGGCCAGTTTTGTTTTTCCAAAATCGCCGTTGTACCAATAATTTACGTGAAATTACATGCTTCCGCTGCCCGCGCATATCAATTTATGAGGCGGCGACGAGGGGCGCAAAAGTCAATTTGCAGCGTAAAAAATTGGGGGCGCCAGCTTTTGAAGGATATTCGGGAAATCGGACCCATATCGTTTTTAATATTAAGCCCATTCCTAAGCCTTACCTAAGCCTAAGCCTAAACCTAAGCCTAAGCCTAAGCCTAAGCCTAAACCTAAGCCTAAGCCTAAGCCTAAGCGAAGCCTAAAAATATCATGGGTGTTACCTTGTATATCGATCGACGTTTAGCTTATTTTTCCGCAACATTTCATAGTTTCCGAAATCTGTAGTCTCGAAAACCCTGGAAAAATCATTGTTCGAACTGCACTTTCAAAAGCCACAAACTCCGACATATTCCCTCGCCAATTTTTGTGAAGGAGAGCCCCCTAATTGACAATTTCCGTGCGGCGGGGCCACATTTTCGGGGGGTGGGCGTGCAACCGTTCGCACGACAACAAATCCGTGGAAATCCATTCTATGCGGCGAATCTTTTAAAAAACACGGCGAGTTGCTCCAGGAATTCTTAGAAGTGTGAGCAATCTTTTACTTTACTCTCTCTCACTCTCTCACCCACTCTCTCACTCTCTCCGATCTCTGTCTCTCTCGATAGCTTTTCTGTTCACCTCAATAGCTAGCAGGCTCAGCAGGCTCAGCATTTCTCGTTCTCAAACTCCAGCTCCTTTCCTCCCTAGCTCTCTCTCTCTCTCCCTCTCTCTCTCTCTCGCACTCTCCCAATCATTCTGTCGTTTGAGACGTCTGAATAGAAGACTTGTTTTACTTGCCATGCCTCGGTACAGCTTTTTCACCACCTCTGTATGTCTCTCTCTCCCTGTCTCTCTCGCTCTCTCACTCTCCATCTCCCTCTCCCAAGTCCATTCCTTCAGATGCCAATATGAACACCGACTATGAAAGCTACGACAACCAGTACGAGACGATACGCCTCGCCGTAGAAGCAGAACAATCGGCGCTTCTCGTACTCGGCGTCGTCACCATCACCCTTTCCTCCATTTTCTTCCTCCTCCAGCTCCACTATATCTATGCAAGTTTTAAGGATTAGAAAAACAGTCTAAAAATATTTCTCCCAATTTATGGTGCCAATTTTCAGCGCATTTTACGGAGACAACCCTCAATATCCGTCGAGCTGGCCCCGTTTCTGCTGATCGGGATGGCCATTTGCGATTGTTTACAACTGATCTCGCACTCATTTTCGGGGTATTTGATGGCTACCGATTTCTATGCCAGCACGTCTGATAAGAATATGCGCTGGGTACGGTATTTTTATCATTTTGTAGAAAAAACCCGCAAAAATATTTTTTAAAATTTCCCCTGAGTATTTTGGCTTCAATTTTGTCGTATGCTGCGACTAGACCTCAAAAATTTGGGAGCTGATGAATGGTGCTTTTGTCTATTAGTGCCGAAAATTTCAAGAAAATCGCCTTATGAATTCACGGCTTCTATGGACATTTAGCTGTTCGGCGCCGGGGTGACGATCGGCTGGAATGGGACGGCGTTTAGCCTCTGCCTATTCTCACTTCATCGAGCGCTTTTCCTGGCAAAGCCCGGGCTAGCGGCTAGGATATTCTCGAAACTCGTCAATCGGGTAGGTTTACGCTTGGAACGGTCTTTTAAAGGGGCCAGCAAGGCAAAAACTGTGCTACAGAATTCAGGATTAAACTTCACAACTTGCATATTTCGGAAGTGTCGCGACCTCTTTTTTCTCCCTCGCTCTCGCGCTCTCTCTCGCTCTCTCTCGCTCTCTCTCGCTCTCTCTCTCATTCTCTCTCTCTCTTTGAATCCTACCTTATATAATTTTGGCGTGTATCTTTGTGTGTGTGTGTGGATGTCAGTTTCGAGGCCCGATTTGAGGGCCTTCCCGTGCATAAAATATCCTAATTCTTCGTCACTTGGGGGAATCGACTCTTCTGTTTCCGATGGTGTGTTCAGAATTTCGATAAAATACAAGTTTACAAAGTTAAAGCCAGTTTTATTAATTTTTGGGGGTAATTTGCATAATGTGAAAAAATACAAATTTGCTCATCTTGCGAGTTGCACGCGCGTGTGGTGGGGGGGGTCCGAAGGACCCGAGCTGCCGGAAAGCAAATTCTCATGAACGCACATTCCAGCGCCCAAGGCCCGCGAAGCGGGTTTTGGGCGCTGGTTGGTTCTATAAACTCTATTCCAGACGTGCATCTGCTGTTTGGCCGGCTACGGAATCTGCCACTTGACGTTTATCCTCTTCGCCCCCGGCTCCAGAATAGTTTTTGTGTTAGTTTTTTATATTTTTAATCGTCCAACAAATAAGCCATGACATTAGGGCCTTTACAAAGGCAAATCTGCTCCTTTTAGCCCCACCCAAATGGAATGGGTGTCGATCCGTACCGATTGGGCATCCCGGGTCACCTCCACCATCAACGCCATCTCCAACTACTTGCTCGTATTTTTTAATCTACCCTTCGTATCCGTTATCGCGTATTTGTTAGTGATAAAGAAGGTGGGGGATTGTAATAATTGGTACTTTGGCATTATCGGGGGGGTTAGGGGAAACAGACGGTCTAATCAAAAGTAAAAGTTTCAGTGGCGCTTCCGGAAGCCGCGGGACAATTTTATCCTCGTCGAGGTGAGGAGAAACCTTTTTTTGTTAATTTTTCTTTTGTAGCTCCTCATTTTCTGGCTATTCGCCGTGGCCACCTGGGCCCTATGGACGTTTATGCCGCAAAATGGGTCCCGCAACGCTGCGGCCACCTACGGATTACGGTAGGCTTCGGAAGCTTAAGTCTATTGTTGAGCCTGTGATTGAGCCTAAGCCTAAGCCTAAGCCTAAGAAAGCCTAAACCTAAACCTAAGCCAAGCCTAACCCAAGCGAACCATCCATTTCCATTCAGCTACGTGTGCAACGTGTTGCTGTGGATGTTGTGGAACGTACTAAAACCGGCGGCCGCGCTCAGCCGCTCCGCCTACCGCAAAATCGAGCGCCTCCTGGCGGCGCGCGGCCGCCAGAAGATGATCAGTCCCCAGCCGGCATTACACGTTCTATATTGAGTTCGCTTTTACATTGAATAAAAAAAGAAGTGCTTTCGTAGTGTCCCCCCGATAAGGCAAAAGAACCATAACAGCAAGTTCTAAATTTTCAATTGGGTTTTCATTCATCGAAGCCAGATGCTATTTTGGCACGCACCTGAGAAATGAGCCCGTTCTTCTCCCATTTCCCATTTCCGCGTCCCCCCTCTCAATTTGCCTGCATAATCGCTCAAATAAGGGCCCCTCTTTTGCTCAGCCAATATTTATTCCACTTGACTCCGAATGGTCGAACGAACGCACATAGGCTCGAGCGTTTCGCGTTCCGTTCCTTCGTCATTAGGTGCAACATGGAGATTGGTCGCTTTACTCGATGTTTTCGGATTGAACGGGAAGATTGAAATCGAAGCGGAAGCCGATGCATAAGCCAAGCCTAAGCCAAGCCTAGGCTAAGCCTAAGTCTAAGCCCAACCTAAGCCTAAGCCGAAGCCTAAGCCAAGCTTAAGCCAAGCCAAAGCAGCCGAAGCCAAGCCTAAAAGCCAAGCCTAAAAGCCAAGCCTAAGCATAAGCCAAAGCCGAAGCCTAAGCCTAAAGCAGACGTTAATTGACGCTTCATCGGCACATTATTAGTACTTATTCAGAGCTCGAAATTTCCGGCATCAATCCGTTTCCGGTTCAACATTTCCCCCTATTCGTCAACTATTTGGTCGGTGCCTCTCATTCGATCATCCGGGGTGGGATGGGGTTGCCGAGATTGAATCGGATGTCTCCCAGTTGGCCCAGAATGGCTGAGCCAGGGATGCCCTGGGGGGCACATCCCACGTGTTCCCCTAAACGATTTTGTTAACCAACTTTTCCGCCCGTGGCCCCGGAGACGAATCGAAAAGTTGGGCGAAATTTGGAAACGTTGCCGGTTTTTGGGATTGTCGTTTTCTTGTTGTTCTTCTATCGCATCTTCTGCTTTCTGTCTCCTTTTCGCAAAGTGCTCAAACCCACCAATCAAAATTTTAGAGGTTGAAAGAACATTTGAGCAGAAAATTGATGCAACGATATCTTCTAAGCCCTCACTCGTGTCTTCTACGGACATTTCGACTCGTCATTTGTTCAGCAACGGAACGCCAAATTGAACACTTTCAAATTCTGAACCCCATCCACGCCCCGGCGCTAAAAACGGCGGGGCTCAGCTGGCTGGGCCTTTTTTGTGGCCTCCTAGCTGTGGGGCTAGACTTTTTGGGACGCCCCCCCGCATCGGAAATATCCCTTCATTAATGCGCACAGAATTCCTAAAGAACTTCTGCTAGCTTGCCCTTGGACGGAGCAGGAACTGACGTTCCTTCCCTCACGGACCTCGGCAAGGTTGCGCTTGGAAATTCCTGAAAGTTTCCGGCCAGCTGGTCGCTAGAAATCTCAGGGGGAAAAAAAAAAAAAAAAAAAAAAAAAAAAAAAAAAAAAAAAAAAAAGGGGGAAAAAGAAAAAAAAAAAATTTTTTCATAGATCCCGGCTAGCTTGCCCGTAGAACCTAAAATTTAATTTTCCAACCATTTTCCTGACTCTGATGCCTTGAAAGGTCCTTTAAAGTCCAACCCCCCGCCCTTGTCCCTTATTTTCAAGTTTGTTGCAATCTAAATGTAGATTCTGATGCGTTATTATGGTGCTCCCCATCCCGCTCCTCCCCCTCCCCATGTCCTATTTGCGGTTGATGAGCAAGATCCCCTCCTACTCCTCATATTTCCGAATAACCGAATGACCTTTCCAATTCCGCGTCACCACCCCCTTTACGGCCCCCCTAAAAACAACGCTGGGTGCTTTTCGCTTCGGGACCCACACATCGTATCGTCGGGCAGTGTGTCGGAATTAATTAGGCACCTCGTCGTTCAAAGATTCGGGGGCCGCTGGTTTGTTGTGTCGCCCGTGCAAAGACTGCATGCAAATTTTCCCCTTGCGACCGACGATTTCCGTTCTTTGGTGTGCTACGGAACACTGATTCAGCTCCGACTTGCTTTTTCTGGCTCCTTTCAGAACTTTTCTGCGCTTTTCGCGGGCAAGCTAGCCCAGACCTTTGAGGAATTTTCACAGGCAAGCTAGCAAAGTTCTTTGAGGAATTTTCAGAGGCATGCTAGCCTTGTTCTTTACGGAGATTTCTTGCGGCAAGCTAGCGGAGATTTTTAAGGAATGTTTATAAGCAGGCTAGCCGAGATTGCTGCGGATTTTTCCATAGGCAGCGAGTTCTTTGAGGAAATTCTAGAGGCAAGCTAGCAGCGTTCTTTGAAGAGATTCTAGAGGCAAGCTAGCAGCGTTCTTTGAGGAATTTCGACAAACAGACTAGCCGAGTTCTTTGAGAAATCTAGAGGCAGGCAAACCAAGCTTTATATGGAATTTCGGTAGGCAATCTAGCCGAGTTCTTTGAAGAATTTCAGAGGCAAACTAGCCGAGTTCCTTGAGGATTTTCTTGAGGCTAGCTAGCCGAGTTTCGTAGGGAACTTTGATAGGCAGGCTAGCCGAGTTCTTTGAGGAATTTTTAGAGGTAAGCTAGCCGAGTTCTTTTGAATTTTGTGAATTTGAGGTCTTTTTGAACGTTCCCGAAATTTGACCCTTCCGCCCCTCAGGCATCAACCGGAAATTGCGGAACTCCGGGCTGCACTTTTTGGGCATGCCCGGAAAAAAACGTTGGGTTCTGAATTTGGCTTGTTCTCTTTTCTCGAGCGCTAAATGTCTTAAGTGATTTCCATAAAAATGCCGACATCCGAAATGTTAACATCCTTGATTTTAACAGCTAAGATGCCGACAACGAAAGGGAAAAAAAATAAACAAGAAAGGGGGAAAAAAAAAATAAACCAGAGTGATAGCGTTTGTAGCTTGACGGTATTGTTACTTGGCGGCTGTCATTCCAAACTGCGCGATTTTGACGTGTCGGCATTTTGGCCGATCGCTATCATGGCTTGTCGGCATTTTCGACATTGGCCGGTGTCATTTTCATTAGCGCCATTCTGACTTGTCGGCATTTTGGCTCGCCGTTGTTTGGGTGTGTCAGCTTTATGGGTTTTCGGTATTTTAGCTTATCGGCATTTTAATCAACGGATTTTTGACTTGTCGGCATTCTTGCTTCTCAGCATTTTGTATATTGACTTTTTGACTTGTCGGCATTTTCCTAGTCGAAATTGTGCATCTAGGTGTTTTGGCTATTTTCCAATCCTGATTTCCCCCGTTTCCAACTCCGGTTTCCCTTCAGCTCTTTTTCCAGAAAAGCTCTGCCGGAAGGCTGAAAGCCAATTTTTTGGACATCTTTTCATTTTCCATTTTCCGGGCGTCATTAGGCGTCCCATTCCCGACGTCCACTACCATGCCAATGGACTCGATATTACAAAAAAGATGGCAATGGGAAAGGGAACGCTATTGGTTAGATGAGGCCGGAACTAGGGTCCGGAATTTCATTCGAGCTCGATTTTAAAGGGAGCTTGACACCGTGATTGATAATTTTTATGTGAGAGCTTGAAATTAGCATTCAGGGCTGGACAAGGCATCTCTTTGCATTTATTTGGCTATAGATTTCGATTGCCTTTTGATGCGCAACGCACGTGACCCTTTGCTCCTTGAATCCAAATTTTTTTCAGCATGTCGAAATTGATTTTGTCGAAAATCACTGTCGAAAATCTTTTTATCGAAAAATCAATTTTTGTTGGCATTTTAATTTGGCGAAATTTGCCTTTATCGACATTTCTTTTTGCCATAATTTTGATTTTCTCGAAATTTACGCACCTCAATAAGGTAGAAAATTGAAGGTATTGAAATTCCCAGAAATTTTTTTCGTTGAATTTCGAAAAGTTAATTTTTGACGTTCTAATTTTTTGACAAAATAAAAATAACCGCCTTAGATGCGTAATTTTTGAAGCGCAAAATTCCTCAAAAAATCTCTGCTAGCCACCATTTAGAATTTTGAATTTAGAATTATCACCATTAGAGGCAAAAAAAGTTTTTAAAGAAATTCGCAACCAATAAAAATTATTTTATACAAATCGAATTTCTAATATTTTAAATGCTAATTTTTGCGGTCTCAGCTATTCACAGTATTTACAGGCCTCAGAAAATTTGCTTAAAATCAGCAGCATCTGGGTGTTTGTTTAGTTGTTGTTTTGGAAAAGGCGGTGTGGGGTATTGTGGATGTCGACGACTTTGGCATTGTCGTTTCGCACTTTGTGAATGAAGCGATCGGCATGCTGGAGGGGGGATTATTGTCTGCCGGCTAGGCACAACGTTTCACTACTTTCCGAATATACCATCCGTTTATGGCTCTCATAAACACCTGTCGAAATTATTTCGAGGCATTCGCGGACAATTTGAGGCAAATTTGCTTTGCTAGGGCACTACAAAAAGATTAGCACAAATTTTGAAAATTACAAAATATTAAATTTGTTAATTTTTGATTCCAAAATTGGATATGGTAAGGAACAAATTTTTATAGCTGATATTTAGATTGATTCGCGCCTGCTTATATAAATCTAAATAAAAATTAACTAAAAATACTTCATTACCTACATTTAATCTAATTGCCCTTGTTGCGTTGCGGTGTTTTTCTGGGAGGTGGGCTATTTTGCAAGGGCCCAAATATTTGGACAGTCTCCGAGAGAGACATAGGGAGAGAGACAGCGAGAGAGCGAGAGAGAGAGAGAGAAAAGAAAAAAAAAAGGAGAGAGACGGTCTATCAAAAACAATCTCACAGTCCATGAATTAATGGAACATCCAGCTACTTTTTTTGCAAAACACGTCTGTGCAAACTATTAATGCGCGTTTTAGCCAAGTTTTAACGAATGCCCAGGATCTCAACTTTTCTGAAGTGAATCTGATTTTTGTGCGGGAACGCTCGAGTGTGTTCTCTAAATTGTGCCCCGAGGGCATTCTCCCAATTCCCCCAAATTTCCATTGACTACCATTGAATTTGGGGCCCTTTCACCTTTCCTGCCGTCAATTCCGGCCTCTTACGTAGTTCCCCCTTCTTACGGAATTTTCGAATTTTCGGAAATTGA